TGGTCTAGCCAGATTTGTAAGGTAGAATTGGGATCATGATAGTAGGGGGTGGGGTGGGGTAAGCATTTAAGAACTAGAGGAAAGTTATATGTTCCATCCTTGCTACCCTGCACTCTGATTGGCTCGTCTCCTCCCCTCAACTCTTCAGTGAGGGAGTGTCCAGTTGCCTACCGATCGATGGGCTTTGAGTCTCCACTCTGCACTCACCCACCTTTACAATGATATTTTTTGTTCTTTGATACTTGATACTTGATCCCTTCGACACCTTGTGTTCACACATGCTGTTGTGCTTCTTCCATGTGGGCTTTGTTGCTTCTGAGCTAGTTGGCCCCTTGTTTATCTTATCTTCAAGCCTTTAAGACCCCAGACGCTATATCATTTGATAGCCGTGCACCATTAGCTCTCTTCACCACATTTGCTTATGCACACGTTTGTCTTCAGCAATTGTGTCGGGAAGGTGTTCTTGCAATGAGTAAGTGCTTGAGTGGAGGCCCAATGTCCATCTGCTGCCTTAATACTAACCCTATAAATATATGCACATAGATCTGGTTCCCCACACTCTTATATAAATGTATTTACATATGTACATTCCAGTCTTGAAACCTCTATACATGTCCTTTGTCCCCTAGTTCTTTCCTCTATTTCCCTTTACTTTCCTCTTGTCCCACTATCATGCTCAGCCTTCATTTGGGTTTCAGTGATTTCTCTCGGATACATTGCCCAAGACAGGGCAGAACTGTGCCTGTGGGCTTCTGAGACTGTAAATCTTTTATGCGTAGAAAGCCCTGTCTTTCTGATCTTAGCGCTGTTTAAAAATGGGGCTTTGCAATAAAACTCAAACCCCAAAACTCATGCTGTCAGTCAATTCTGACTCAGTGCCCATTTAAACTGGGTAGAACTGCCCTGTCCTTGTGGGCTTCTGAGACTGACTCATATGGGCATAGAAACCCTCCGTCTTGCTAGGTTAAGCACAGTGGTTTTGAACCATTGATCTTGAGGTTATCAACCTACCGCATAACCACTATGCTACCAGGGCTCCTTATTGGTGACTAGATAGACTTATTTTAACAATCTTGGCCATGCTGCTTACTGCTTTTGCAACCCTGGGCAAGATACTTCTGTGTGCCTCAGTTTCCTCATCTGCAAAATGCAGATTAGGCTTACTTGGGCAGCTGTGGGGAGTAAATGAGTTATTGTGTGTCATGTGCTCAGAAATCATAGGAAGTGCTGAAAACAACCTTTTCTTGTTCGGTGCTATAAGGCCAGCCAGCCTGTCCCCACCCCTAGATGTCTAGCTCCTTGGAGCAGTATGTAACTGGGCTCAGATTTTTTGATGTAGTGAATGCTTTTTCTTTAGGTAAGTGAGTTCACTTACATCTTTTCAAAAAATAACATGTTTTTGTGTTAAATATTTCATTTTATTTCTACCATCTGTTTTTACATCTTTTCTGTCATTTGGCATGTGGGCTCATTGTTTCATTTAAAAAATACATATATATATATATATATATATTCTTTCTCTGTTATTTAGATTTTCTATCCCACTAGTTTTTAACTTTTCTAGAACTAGATATAAATATCTTGACTTAATAGCGTGTGACAGTTTAATTGAAAGGACTGAGATGAAGAAATTGGCTTTCCTTGAAATCAACTTGGTGTTGGTGTTGGTTAAGCATTGGGCTGCTAACCTCAAGGTCAGCGGTTCAACCCCTCATCCATTTCCGGGAGAAAGCTGAGGTCTGTTTTTGTAAAGAGCGACAGCCTGGGAAACTCCAATGGGCCGTTCCGCGTTGTCCCATAGGGTCCTTGTGAGTTGAAATCAATTTGATGGCAGTGGGTTTGGGTTTACTTTTTCTACTGCCCTACTTGGATTTTATTATCTTACATTTCTTTTTACTCTGTCACAGTCGTAATGCTTGCATTCTGTTCTATAGCCGTAATTCCCATGGTCATTTGACTTTAAGATAACATTTGCGTGGATCTCTTTCTCAATCATGGGCTTGACTCTTCCGCAGTGAGCTTGAGTGTGATTTTTGGAGGGTGGAGTGGGTACTGTTACTGCTCTGGTGGCGCAGTAATTAAGTACTTCAATGCTGAAAGTGCTTCAGATGTTGGCAGGTTGGTCCCCCCTCAGTGTCTCTGAGGGAGAGAGGCTTGTTCTGCCCTTGAGAAGGCAACACATGCCTGTAGCTCCTCCTCCTCCCTTCCTGGAAACCCGGGTTTGAGGATTTGAAAAGGCCTTTCTGTTGTCTTTATCCTTGGCTGTCAGCATGGGGCACGCTTTGCTTTCTCTAGGTAGGAGCCACGGCTAGTGCAAAAGCCTTGAGGCTGGTATGGCTGCAGAGCAGACTAACGAGAAGCGTTAGGGAGTTATGCCACCCCTCTCACAGAAGTGGGGAGATCAGTTAGGAGCGATGGCAGAACTCCACACAAGGTGTGGCAGCTGTGCTGGGGGTGGGGAAGAATAGATGTGCGCAGTAGAGTCACAAGACTCGTCGGTGGAGTGGGTATGGGGAGCAGGGTGAGGATTCAAGAATCAAGGATGGCACTGGGGTTTCTGTTGAGCCACTGGGTGATTGATGGTGGCATTCACTGACGCAGTAGGTGAATCAAAGGGCTGTTTAGTTAGGTTGGATGTGAGGCGGTGGTCTTTCTTCTTTTCCCTCCATCCGACTCCAGGGTCTCCTGGACCTGGATGCGCCAGTACTGTTTCATGTTCCTTTGGTTCCGCTGATCTTGAACCTTGACCAAGGTCCTGGTTTAAGTAAAAGGTTTTGGTCTGGGTTCTTGGGGACTCTGAATTACGTTTAGAGAAAAGGGCCCTCTCTTTGAGATCTGGTGATGTATGCATTGACATTCCGCATCATCCTTGATTTTGATCCCAGTGCCCCAAATCTGATATTCTTTGTCGTCCATGATCCGAGGTTCTTATATTTCTAAGTTGTACTATTGCCTGAGTTTTTCTTCCCTAAGCTTCTTAGTTTTGTTCATGCCAGTGGGTTTTCAGAGAATGAAATAACTCTTATTCTATCTTCTTGCCAAAGTCCCTGTCCATGTAGTATTGAGCCCATATGCTGTGTGTGAGAGAGAAGAGAGAGGGGGATACTTTGACCTTTTATTTTCTCTCCCGCTGAGTCGGAACCTCAAACTTAGAAACTCTAGAAATATCTGCAGGTGCATTATAACAAACCACAGTAAATTACAGTTTCTTTCTTTCTAGACGTTTCCTGTAATGTTTCCATGGACAAGGAACAGAAGCTATCTAAACGTAAAAATGAAGACGGTTGGTGAGTAAGGCTGTGTGTATATGGATATGAAGGTTAGAGGAATGCTTATTTTTCAAGTAAGAATCTTTTTAAACATCGCTACTAGAAAGATTACTTGGGATAAAAGCCATTTTATAGTAATCAAAAATTCAAACCTGTCAATTATTAAATTATGATGGCCTGCTAGATATCAACGTGGAAGAGTCCTAGATTTCTATGTACATGTCCTAATTCTCCCATTTGGGCTCCGTGGCTTCGTTCTGAAGAACGTAGAAAAAGATCTGCACCATAGCATCTCATAGCACAAGGTGCCTTAGTCCAGTGCTATGTTTTTTCACGTCTTCGCACACATAGAAAGTGCACGTGTGACGGCCTGCCTCCAGGGCCCCCAGGTGCGAACATGGTGAAGTGTTGCCCGGTCCTCCCATCTTACGACGGCTGTCACGTTTGAGACCATGGTGGCAGCTCTCTGGTAGTGCCTGCCAGCCTGGAGGGTTCATCAGACAGCGTTCTGCTCCGTAGGGTTTTCATCGACTAGATCTCCAGGCCTTTCTTCCTACTCTATCGTAGTCTGAACTCCCTTGCTGAAACCTGCGCTCCATGGGTGACCATGGTGGTATTTGAAATCTGGTGCCCTGGAGAAGGACATCATACGTAGTAAAGTGGAAGGGCAGGGAAAAGAGGAAGGTCCTCAACTGGATGGATTGACACCAGTGGGCTCAAGCACGGGAACCCTTGTGAGGGTGGCGCAGGGCCGGGCAGTGGGCGGCGTTTCGTTCAAACCGACTCAATAGCACACCACAGCAACATGCTGCCGAGCTGAGCCAGTGGTAGGGCAGTGGTAGAATTCTCCCCTTCCATGCCCGAGATGTGGACTGCATTCCGGCCAGTGAACTACAGGTGCAGCCAGCACTTGCCTGGCATCCTGCTGTGAGACGGGCCAGGTTTCATCCAGCAGAGGTTCTCAACTAAGACAAAGAAGACAAGCTTGGTGATTCACTTCTGAAAAGCAGCCAGAGAAATCCTCCGGAGCACAGTGGTCTGCTCTGCAGCCAGGCATGGGGCCGAGGCGTGTTTCCTTCCGTGTACGTGGGGCTGCTGTGAGCTGGGGCCTGACCCGACACCAGCAGCCTCCTGTTTCCATCCTGCTCATGGGCAACCGGACACTGGGACCTTTACAACATGTTGAAAGGAGGCAGTGCTCTTTCTTCTCTTCATTCTGATCCTTTGTTAAGGATCTTAGAAGGAAATGCATGGCCTACAGCCATCTCACAAGTTCTGGCACTGCCTTCTCAGAGTGTTTATCACTAAGGGTGAGTTCCGACCAACTTCTTGCCAACCATAAAGCAGAAAAGTTGCTGCAAGAATAGCTATCATTGCCGCCTCCTTCTGCAGCACAACTCTAAAAGTGCCAACAGGGTTGGTGTTGCCGTGATTATATGGTGCCGCTCTAACAAATGCAACAAGTGGATGGGTTTAAGAAACTGAATTTTATTCACTCACGGTTTAGGAAGCTAGCAGTTGGAATTCAGCATCCAGACTAGGGGATTTGCCCAAAGCAGTACTTCCATCAGCACTGATGATGGGTCCAAGCAAAATTAAATCGACCTCTTGAATCCTTTCTGTTTGTCGTGATGTTGTCTCTTGGACCAGCTGTAAGACTTTTGGCTTCCTTGATACTGGGCCCTGGAGGCATAGAGGACTACTCATTGAGCTGCTAACCACAAGGTTAGTGCTTCAAACCCACCAGCTGCTGGCTGCTCTGCAGGAGAAAGGTGAAGCGTCTCATCGTATGAACGCTGAAAGCCTTGGCAACCCAAAGGCGCAGTCCTTCCCTGTCCTGCAGGGTTTCTGTGAGTCGGAATTGCCTCGATGGCTGTGAGTTTGGGTTTTTGGTGATACATTGAGTCCTAATCCGTACCGAAGGCTGCAGTCCTTGATCTTTATCAGCAAGTGCTGGAAGTTCTGCACGTCCACGAGCAAGCTGTGCCATTTGCATATTGTAGGTTATTAGTAAGCCTTCCTCCAGTCCCGATGCTAAATTTTTCAAAAGTCCAGCTTCTTAGATTATTTGCTTAGCATACAGATTGAACAAGTATGGTGAGATTTTAAACCATGCAGTATTCCCGTATTCTATTTGCACAACTGCCTCTTCATCCCTGTTCCAGAAGAGCAAAATGAAGTGTTTGGGAAATCCCCTTCTTTTTAAGGCTATCCATAGATTGTTATGATACACACAACTGAATACCTTTGCATAGTTAATCAAACACAAGAAAACCTCTTTCTCATATTCTCTCCTTTCAGCCAAGATCCATCTGAAACCAGCAGTGATAATCCTAGTGTCATGTCTTTTCCTGAATCTGGCTTGGATTTTTGGTAGTGCCGTGTTCATGTATTGCTGGAACCATTGTTGTAAAACCTTCAACAAAACTTCACTTGCATGTGGAATCAGTGATCCTGTTGGATCTTTTCTGCCCTCTGTTGGGTCCCGTTTCTTTGCAATGGGCACAAAGATGGATCTCTCTCGGTTGGTTGGCTAAGTTCTTGCAAACTTCTTGGCACGGACAAGTGAATGCTTCCAGTGCTTCACTAGCTTTTGGAAACGTCTCAGTTGGTATTCTGTCGATACCTGGAGCCCTGATTTTGGCTAAGGCTTTCAGTGCAGCTTGGACTTCTCCCTTAAGTACCATCGGTTCTTGATCATATTCGGTCTTCCAACATGGTTGAATGGTGGCCATTTTTTTTTGGTACAATGACTATTTCTTCCATCTTTAAAAAATTTTTAATAACTCATATTATTGGGAGTTCTTACAGCTCTTATAACAATCCACACACCCATATTATCAAGCACCTTTGTACACATGTTGCCATCACCATTTCCAAAACATTTTCTTTTTGCTTGAGCCCTTGGTATCTGCTCCTCTTCTTCCATCTTCTTTTGATGCTTCCTCGATAGCTTCCCCACGGAATTCTTCAGTACGGCAACTCGAGGCTTGAGTTTTTCTTCAATTCTTTCAGCTTGACGTATGCTGGCCATGCCCGTCCTTCTGGCTCGCTCGCTCTGGATCTTCGCGTGTTTCATTGGAATGCTTCCTCAGTGCAAGGCGCTCTTGGAGGTTTCCTGGTCAGCTCTTGTACTGAAGCCTTTCCCCCGTTTGCCTTCGCGACTGCGGACTGCGTGCTCAAGAAAAGGTTCAGAATCTCTTCTTACCTCCACTTTATTCTTTTCTTTCTCTCTGTCTCTTTAATGACCCTGTGCTTTTCTCATTTCCAGTGTTCCTGACGTCATCCAACAGCTTTCGGGCCTCTGTCATTAGCGTGCAGTGTGCCAAACCTGCTTTGAGATGGTCTGTGAGGTCGGGTGGGACACACGCAAGGTTGTCTTTTAGCTCTCCCTTCATTTAATCTGAACTTGCATTTGGGCAGTGTTCTGCTGCACAGTGGCCCCGCTTCGCTTTGGCTGATGCTGCTGAGCTTCTCCATGGTCTCGTCCTCCAGGCATTGTCGATTCATCCCTGGACATTCCGTCGGGTTGAGTCCATGTGTAGCCACCGTGTGTGTTGTTGACAAATGGCGCTTGCAACGAAGCTACTAGCCTTGCAGAATTCTGCCGTGGGATGTCCAGCGTTGTTTCTCTCACCAGAGCCTGGCTTTCAAACTGCTGCAGGCCCTTCCTCTTTGTTTCCAGCTTTCTCATCCAGTCACCACTGATGATCCATGATGGTCAAGTTCAGATTGAAGAGTCTGGTAGAATTCCTCAGTTTCTTCACTAGCTTTTGTGACTGGTGTGTGAATTTGAGCAATAGAAGTAGGAAGCGAGCCTCCTTGTGGGCAGATGCACATTATCCGATCAAAGACAGCACCGCACTTCAAGACAGGTCTTGAGATGCTCCTTTTGAGGAGATGCCCTTCTGGGACTTTCATCCCCGGCACCGTCAGCCGTGTGACTGTCCGATTTAAAATGGCCAGTGCCGGTCGGCTTCAACTCACTCACTCACGCCTAGGATACGGATCGGTATGCATTTCATTCCATATCTGGTGACCTTCAGATCTCCCGAGATGCATGCTGTGTAGAGTCCACCTCCTGATGTTAGCAGGTGTTTGTAGCTGGGTGTTCTCACTTTGAGTTGGTCCTCAGCCCTGAAAGCTTTACTCCATTCACGCCAGTATTGTCGCCTCCGTTGGGATGAGGAAGTTCTTCCTCCCAACCTGCGGCGCATCTCTTCTGGCAGTTCTGAAGGGTGACGGGCGAATCCCTCAGAAGTGGACAGCCTGGTCCTTCTTCAACTCTGCTGAACCCACTTTACCTTGCGTGCCCCCGCTGGCATTTGAAATACCGGGGAAACAGCTTCCAGTATCTCAGCAACATGTAAGCCACCGCAGGACAACAGACGGACGTACAAGCGGCAGACACATCATCTAATGGAGGATCGTGACATCAGATCGCGAAGTGAAGGACAGCCCTACAATCCGGGGATCACGGCTTAGCCACGTAGTTGCGTATTTTGTGGGTCCTCAATTCAAACCATGACAGATGTGTTTTTGTTTGATCATTCAGGAAAAGAGTCTTATCCATCGACTGGTGTTTAGCCTGCTGTTTTTCTAAGTATCATTTCTTTCTTGACAACGCCTGCATTAGATGTTAGTTCACAGTCCTGGCCATTTGTCCTGAAGTCTTGCTTTGAGGACTGTGAGGTTCAGATTTCTAGCAGAAAAGTTCGCCTGCTCACTGTTGGTAGAGTTGGGCTTCCCTTCTTGGCACTACTGAGATGCTTCTCCAATCCCCACAGAACTTCATGTATAATCACTGGCGTAGTCTCTCGCTAATGATGCCACCAGTGAGAATTTATCATATACGAGGCTGTGATCCATTTTATGCCTTTGTTCTCTGTGTTGCCACTCTAATTAATAGTGCATCTCAGATTCTATAGGTGGGCAGGAATGTATTCTGTTAGAAGCTGTTTGATAACTTCCTTTTGTTTCATCCCAGGAATTGATAGTAAGTTCATGTACTGGGGAAAGTTACAATGCTTTTGAGATAATGGTGATCTTGTGTGGTTTATATTTCCTTACTGTGATCATCAGTCACCATAAACTTGCTATATATTGTGATTATATTTTAGGACAGAGAGCTAGAGAATGGTCCATGTGGATGGGCAGCTGCACATTCCTTTGTGAGACAGTAGACTCTAAGGCAGTTTCTTTTTTTTAAATTCATTTTATTGGGGGCTCTTACAGCTTATAGCATTCAATACATCAGTTGTATCAAGCATATTTGTACAGATGTTGCCATCATCATCATTTCCAAAACATTTTCTACTTGAGCCCTTGGTATAAGCTTCTTTTTTCCCCCTCCTCCCTCTCCCACCCTCCCACCCTTATGAATTCTTGATCAATTGTATATTGTTATTATTATTTCATATCTTACTCTGTCGTTTGTCTCCCTTCACCCACATTTCTGTCATTCGTCTCCTTGGGTGGGGGGGCTATATAGCCAACCTTGTGATGGCTACCCCCTCTCTCCCCCTTCCCCCTCCTGACCACCCCTCTTCCCTCATGTCTCCAAGGCAGTTTTAGGACGTGAAGAGACGACCATGCGCAGGAGGGGGAGAGCATTTTCAATGAGCTGAGAAGTATCTAGAATGAAGAATTGTGTGGGGCGGTAGCGATGGATCAGCGTTTGACATATTCATGGCTGTCTCTGGAGCATCTCTGTCGTTGGTGGAAGGCTGGGCGGTCGTCTGGAAGTGTGACAGATAAAGACAAAGCAACCCTGACAAGTACATCATGAGCACATGTCAGAGAGGCCCTTATGCCTTACTGCGGGGCCAGGAGAGGGCAGGGCTGGTTTAAAGGCAGAGCCTGCTTTCCGGGGCGCAGATGGCTCCTATCCTACAGGGCAGCAAGACCTCAGCCTGTGGGCTTATCTCTTCTCCCAGCTGTAGCTCTACAAGACGGACAACGTTTGCACCTTACCAGCTTTCTTTCTATATAACTCATCAGAGAACTTGAGAATTAAGTCATGAGCAAGCAGCGCTACCTTTCCCTGGAACTGGGAATGGAAAACTAGCCTGTGGTTCAGGGGCCTGCATTTTTGTAAAGTTTTACTGGCGCAGCACAGACCCATCGATTCAGTTACGTATTGCTTCACGTCGATTTCTCACCCTAGCGGCAGATTTGAGGAGTGACAGACAAGTCTGCAGTCCTTCCCCCCCAAATTCACTAGAAAGAAGTCACCTCCCTTTTCCCTTCGGTGTCACCCGATCCCCGATGGGCTAGCTCGATAATATGACATTAAACGGCATGTAGAATCTTTTCTCTCTCTCTAAATAGTAGAGGATTTTTCTTTTCTTTTAAATTTTCTTAATACCAAACAGCAGCATCTGCATTCTAGAAACACACCTTTCTTCCTGAAAGTTGTGTGTATGTCACTGGACGCAGGTGCTTCAGGAGGCGTGGCCTGGAGATTGCTTTCTCTACCTTGCCGATAGAAACCTGTTTCTCTCCCTTTGCTCTCTGCACGTGAGACTCAGTGGTCAGAACAACAGGAATGGGTAGCGACATGACTGTGCCGGTGCTGATGGGTGCTTGCGTGACAGGTTGCTCGTTTGTCCCCCTGAAGCAGTGGCGTCTCTCTCTTGCAGCATCCTGGAGACCCTATACTGCACGGGGTGCTCGCTCCAGCTGGGCTACATCTACAGGTGCACCCCCAAGGACCTGGATTTCAAGAGAGACCTGTTTTGCCTCAGTGCCAAGGCCATTGAGAGGCAAGTTTGATAGAATCAGAAAAGTAGGTGTGCAGAGAAGTTAGTATTGACACCATCACCACTAAGTCAATATTGTTTTGGTAAAAGACATCTTCAAGTAGTCATTCCTGGCAATAAAGCTAGTGATTTTTTAAAAAATTTACCTGATTCGTGTGGTATTGGAAAAGTCATGCATTCTAAATTGTAGGTTCCCAAACTTATTTTGCCTACAGCTCCCTTTTCCGAAGGAAGATGATTCAGTGCCCCCCTGCAATGAAAAGCATTTGTACTATAGCCCATAATGCAGGTTGCAGTGCAGTTAGCTGCTTTTGCAGCCTTCCTGAATCTTTCCAGCGTCCCCCAGGGGGCAGTATCGCTCAGGATGGGAAACACTATTCTCAATCTTAAGGATGGAGAAATTGGGGGGCGGGTAACAAAAATATTTCACTTATTTTCAAAAATAAAATTTTGTACATGAAAGTCAGGATAGTTAACTCTGTTCAGAAACAGTAACAGGAGTAATGGTTCCTCGAGGGTACGGGAAGAGAGAGGGGTGGGGGGAAGGCGGGAATAGGGAGCTGATAGCATTGATGAATGTGTGACTCCAGTCGATGGGATTGAACAACAGCAATGCATGTGAATGGATATACTGGATTGTGTAGGATATGTCAATGAAACTATCATAAAATAAATAAAATTTTATTTAAAGGATTTACACATTTAAATTTTAAAATTCTCAAATTCCATTTTTCCCCACAAACTTTTTGAAGCTCTCATGGCTTTTAGCCAGTGGTGTGGGCCAGTGCACGCAGCCCGTTGTACTCCTCTCACCCCCAGGTCTCAGCTCCTAGACTGTCATACAGAAGTAAGCATTTCTAAGTTAGGCAAGAAAAAAGTCCTGATCTGGAAAAGTAACAATATAAAGTTTCAATATCACTGATGGTAAAAATTGTCTCCTTTTTTGAAAGATGCAGAGAAATGCATTTGCTCTCCAACAGCCCTAAGAAGTAGGTGTGAGGAAGCAAGGCAAAATGGTTTCCCATCTTGTTGGGAATGAACTCGTGTGTGTGTGTGTGTGTGTGTGTGTGTGTGTGTACGTACTAGAACTCCAGGAGCAATACTTTTTAACTTACTACGCTATTTGCCCCTGATTTATATTTTAACTCTCTGCTCTTAACTGCAGTTATATTTTAGGGTCTTCTGAAAAGCAGCTTGTATCAGAAGATAAAGAGCTTTTTAATCTCGAAAGCAGAGTTGAGATGGAAAATTCTTTGAAACAGGTAACTTCTCCGTGTGTGTTTTCTCTCTGTGTGAACAGCCCTCCTTGATGGACGCTCGCTCTTAACTGCTCTTCCGACCTTAGCGCTGTTATGTCAAGAACGTGCTTACCATAGTAATGTGCTCACTAGTAGTAAGTTTGATTTCAGGCCACTAAACTATAAATTAAGCTAAAACTTCATGCCCAATTCTACACAGTATAGATCCTGAAACTGCTGAAGTGGGTGGAATCAGTGTACCTTTGGAATAAATCAGTATTCATTTGATTCAATTCCCATGATATAAACAGCCTTATTGTTGAACATTAACATCCTTTGTTGTGGCCACAGAGGCAAAAACAGTTGGTGGAGGTGAATACATAGATGAGCTAAGGATGATAGAATTAAATCTAATTTAGTGGAAATTTGCTTGATTCCTGTAAATAACTCCATCGGACAAGCACAGAATGCTATGTATAATGCACAGCATATTCAACTATTGCACTAAGGATGTATAGTTTTAATCATTTAATCACTTATATTTTCAGTCACATGTTTGTTTTTGTATCTTTGTTCAATTGAATAGATGAAAGATGTTTTGGAAGCATTACAAATGCAGCTGATGAAGGTTGAATCAAAATTGTTCTCTCCCAAAATTTGAAATCTCCTCCATGACCTCGTCTGGACCCCTCCCCCGCCGCTGCCACAGGGACGATTCCATCACCCGTAACAGTCCTGCTACCCTTTCACTTCACAGAGAACTGAAGGACTGCTAAGTGACCACGCACCTGGTATTCTTTTGTTAACGGTCACGTGAGAAGAATTGTAGAATGTTTTAGAGCTACGTTTGATGGTAAAGAGGTGCTTGTTTCCAAATTGGAATTTTGAAGCCATTTTATGATATCGGCTAGAATGAGAAATTAAGAGTTTATTTTGCCTACCAACTCATGATTTTCTGTACTATTTTTTTCTATCAAACTGATTCTTCTTCCTTTTTTTTTAAAACCTACGCTTCGTTTAATATGTTGGACGGTATTTAATATTTAACAGTGAGAACATCTTGGGTTTTTTTCCACCCAAGCTGTGGTTAGATTCTCTCTGAAAACTAATGTGTAAAGTTCTCTTGAGACCCAGTGGTTGGAGTACTCACTCTTCAGAACTGTTTGAAAGCTTATACAAGGGCAGAATAACTTGGACCGTATAGACTTGCGTATAAACCGACCTGAATATCAACCGAGGCATCTAATTTTTCCACAAAACTGCATTAAAAATGTGCTGAAAAACTCGTCTTATACTCGAGTATATACAGTATGTGTAGATCTACTTAATCCTGCTTGCTTTTTTATTTACCAGTGTATGCTTAAAAAAATCTAAGACTTTTACTAAGGGGAGTAGTCATCTCAGCCTGGGATACTGGGGGAAACCTCAGTCTTTCAGTTTTCTCGTATGTATACATTTTATCCAAACGTTTTATATTTGTAACCAGGAAGAGAATAAAGGCTAAGCTTGATGTTCACAAATGAAACTGTGGGACGTGAACTGAGTCCAGAGCTCCCGGTGCCACGAGCCTGACTTTGCTGTGGACGTGGCCCCTCCCCGCGGTGGCTGCCTGCCCCTGCTCTTGCTGCCTCTAGCTCACTCCAGTCATCTTCCACACATACGAGAGAAACCCGCTCAACTTCTGCTCAGGATTTTCTGCTTAGAATGTGCTCATTGATTCTGGGACTGTTTAACATGATCATAGGAGAAGGGCCCGAGGTTAGTTGACTGGCTCCGTTGCGGCAACCTCTTATAACTGGAAGGAGGTGCCGGCTTCAGGGTCTCTTCCCCGACAGTCTGCTCCTTGGTGGAATACGGCACCACGAGAGCAAGGGTCCACACCCACTGGCCACAAGACTGTCCTCCTCCCAGTCAGCTGGAGGCGGCCCTGTGGGCCGGGCTTCCCTGGTGCGTGGTTGACCCTGTCGTGAACATTCATCTAGAACAGAGAGGAAAGTATTCAGCAGTCAGACGCAGCAGTCAGACCTGCTTTGTGGTTGAAGCAGGCTACAGAACACTGGCCATTGTTTCCAGGTTCCATTCCAAAGACGGAGACCGTCAGGCTTTCTAACTCCTTATCCCCATTTTGACTTGGCAGGGCACTGTGCACTGTCGCCAGCCAAGCCACACATCTCGACCACGACTCGTTTTACCCTCGAAAGCTAGTTTCTAATACCCCCTGTGCTAATGAACAGTCTCTGGTGCAGGCCTTTGATGAACTGTCCCAGTGCAAGCTCATCATCGTCCCCAGAGTTATACTTCCACACCGGGCCCTTCACACGAAGGTTAACCAGCCACCCTTACGTCTGGTGCAGGTGGAACCGGCTCTCACACATTTGTATGATATGTTCTTTGTAGAGCTTCTAAAAGTCAATCCCAGGAAACATACTAGTGTGCTCAACATCGGCCTCTGTCTGTGATTTCATTGAGGGTTGATTGTGGAACCTTGGGAGAGGTCCCTGGGCCCCTAAAGCTCTCCAACCCTGAGGGTCCGGGTAGGACTGCTTCACCCTCCTTGTGACACTTCTTCACCCTGGTTCCTCTCTTTGAGGCCTAGTGGCCTGACTTTTCCGGCATGCAAAAAGGTCTACCCAGAATACTGTTTCCTTTGTCCTGTATGTCCACATCCTTAAGTCTAGTCCTTGAGGCAATACATCCTTAGACTGAACAAAACCCAGTTGTACTAGTGTTTCTGGTTAGCACGCCTGCTGAGCAGGAACGAGGGTCCTGAAATGGGCATCGCAGCGCACGTCACAGAGCCTACTAGAGAGGCTTCGGATTGGGCCCACAAAAATGATTGCTTCCGCCATGCCTGCCAAGGGTGTCTGCCCAGTTCTTCGGGGAGAAACTATGACAACTGGTATTCGTCTGCTCCAGGACCTTTGTAGATGGCTGTCTGTTCGCGAGGGGAGAACATTGCTTGTGGTTTCACCTGGGGGGTGGGGGGTGGTGGTGCTGAATGCCCTGCCTGAGGTGTCCTGTGGGCCTTGCTCTGCAGTATGGGTGGCCAGACACAGTGAGTTTAACCCGATTGGTTCCAGTGACACTTGCGGCATCCCCCGGGGGCAGAGTGCTCTCTGGGCAGCATCTAGCCGGGGTGTCCAGTGGGAACTTTGTGAATGAGAGAACCCTGTCAACTGTTCTGAGCAAAGATCTCAGGGGTCGGAAGTAGAGGTCCTGCCTCAGAGTCCTGGCTGAACTGCCTTGCCTGTCACACGGGCCTGGACAAATCCATTCAATTCTTTGCTCTTCAGTTTCCTCATCTGTAAGCTGATGATACAGTAGCCTGCAGTTATAGATTGAATTGTGTTTCCCTAAAAATACGCGTCAAGTTGGCCAGGCCCTGGTTCTCGGGATTATGTAGTTGCCTTCCGTTCTGTGATCTGATGCAATTAGCTGTATGATACCAATGAGGCAGAAAAGGAAATTGCTTCTTTTTTAAAAAAAAAACAAAAGTCCACTTCCTAACACCTTTTCCTTTCATCTAAAATGAAATTCCCCTTTTTAAGACTTTAGTGATCACAGCCCCCTCTTCACCTCTCCTGGAGAAGAAGCAAAAATGCAAAGGACGCCATCCCGCAGGCCGTTGTTGCAGCTTGAACGAGTGCTATAAAGAGAAATTCACCGCTGGGAAAGCGGTGACACTCCAAAGCAGCAGCCCCCTCAGGGACAGAAAACCCTTATAAGGTTTATAAAATTCTCCTTTTTAAATGGTTGTGTTAGCTTCTGTTTGGTTTGGGAATGTTTAATCCATCAACCTCTATCCTGCCTTTTAAAATATCTCTTGCTCTCGAGAAGCCTCCAAAGTTACCAGCCCCAAACTCCAGGTGAAAGTACCTGAGGGTGACAGGGAGCCATGAAGAGGGCAGGTGGCCCCACAGTCCCTAGAAGCTGTGAATGTTCCCTGACATGGCCAAGGGGCTTGGCAGATGGATTCAATTTAACCAGCTTAAGATTGGCAGGGGCCGGGGGGTGTTAATCAAAATTCTCTGAGTTGACCCAATGCAATCACAAACATCAAAACAAAATCAGCTGCCAGCGGGGTAATTCTGCTCAGACAGGGTTTCCCAGGCTGTGGCCTCTCCAAAGCAGATCACACGGCCGTCTTCTGCAGGCTTTTCCGTTTACAGCTGAGCATGTTGACCACCAGAACAATGCCATCCACGAGCTCGGAGCGGTGCAACCGCAGCCTTGCAGGACGGAGGGAAGGGAGCCACGGCCGAAAGAGGCAGGTAGGGAACCACCTTGACATCCTGCATTGAGTACAAGACTGATTTCAGACTTCTGAATTCATTCTGAACAAAAGGGTAGCGCGTGGTGATGAAAAGCAATATAGTGGCCATAAGAAACTAACATAACCGACAGGCTGAAGGGAATGAAAGGAGTCCGCGTCCTGGGGCCTGGGAAGTTGTTCCATGGATTTTTGTTCAGCGTTTTAAGGTTGATAGGGCCCTTGAGGGGCCACCTTGCCCACTTCTCTGCTTTAAAATTAGGTCTCAAAAAACTCACTGCCATCAACATTAATAGTTTAGAAGGGGGAAAAAAATTATCGTTAATTTAATTTTCTCAAGCTAATTAAGAGAAGTCAGTAGGGGCCAACTTAAACGAAATGAGGCCAATTCTAACTGAGCCAGGTTTGGGCCAATAGAGCTTGTGACTATAGCTTAACACTTCCTCAGGCCAACTGCCTCTTATGCTACCTCTCTTCCGGTTTATCGTCACAAAAACTAGACATAACTATTCTGAAGACACAGTTACAAAGGCTGACCTCCACAGCAGTCAGATCCTTGTGATCAGCTGCCCAGAGATCAAAATCAGATGGAACCCCTTAAAAAAAACAAACCCCACTGTCATTGAGTTGAAGCTGACGCCTGATGGCCCTATAGGACCATATAGTACTGCTCCTGTGTTTCTAAGATGCTACCTCTTTACGGAAGTAGAAAGCCCATCCTTCTTCCGAAGAGTGGCTGGTGATTTCGAACTGCAGACCCTGAGGTTGCCAGCCGTTCTCATAACCACGATGCCACCAAGGCTCCTCAGGTGGAGCCTAGCACTCATTTAAAAAAAGGATCAGTGCCCCAAATTTGTCAGGGTTCGATCTAAGGGTGAAATGTCTCTCCCTCAGTTCAAACAGGATTGCAAAAGAACCTCTTTGCTCACAGGCGCGAAGCTGCCCAGTTATTTAGCTTTAGTCCTTGGGAGTCCTGAGCAAGAGCGCTCCCTTTAACATTTCCCTCTGTCACATAAACAAACCCAGCCACTTTGGCATACGCTCCCTTCCCTTCCTTTGCCCCAATTTCGCGGTCCCCTGGTGTCCACATCACCCAGCTTCTCCCCTCGCTGCCCACAGAGCTGACTGGCTCTGTGCCAAGCACTTACTTTTTCTTAACTTTAACAAAAAAATAAATTAGCTTGTTTATTTTTAACAAGTTCACAGAAAACAGATCCCATGTCGTGCATTTCAGCAGGTCACTTGCATTCACAGTTGTGCAGCCAACCCCACGATCCATTCCAGGGCAGGGTTTTCTTCCTTGTATGTGTGGTGAGCTCCCGCTTCCTGCCAGCCTCCCTTGGAATCCATTGATTCCGCCGTTGTCTCCCCAGGTTTACATAATCTGGGTTTCATACAGAGACTCATCCCAAATCAAGACAATACAAACGGCCCACCAACACTGACACCGTGCAACAAAGACAGGCTTGAAGTGACAACAAGACAGACACTATTAAAAACCGAGCAACTATCCACTGGGGAGGAGGAGCTCCCTGACAAGGTGTCACATTTGGACCGAACTACAATTGCAGTAACCCACCCAGCATTGTCCTCTGCCTGCTAACTTTCCCATCTCTGCGCTGTACTCCGAGGGGATTCCCCTGGGCTTAATTGCATGCTGGGACTCTGCAAATAAGCTTGGACTTTCACTGTCACCCGCAGCCTTGTGCAATCCAGGTGTTCAGAATTTAAACTCAAACCGTTCCCTCCTCTGGGTTTGGTTTTTATTATTTACAATTCTTGACTCACACGTTCTGGTGTGCTTTTTCCATGTGGACTCAGCCAACGCCTCATTAAGAGGGCTGCTTGTTTTAAGACAAGCCATTAAGACCCCAGATGCTTCTTCTTTTTTTTTTTTTATCGTTTTATTAGGGGCTCATACAACTCTTATCACAATCCATACATACATCAATTGTGTAAAGCACATTTGTGCATTCATTGTCCTCATCATTCTCAAAACATTTCCTCTCCACTTAAGCCCTCGGCATTAGGTCCTCGTCTTTCCCCTCCCTCCCTGCTCCCACCTCCCTCATGAGCCCTTGATAATTTATAAATTATTATTTTGTCATATCTTGCCCTGTCCGACATCTCCCTTCACCCACTTTTCTGTTGCTCGTCCCCTAGGGAGGAGGTCACATGCAGTTCCTTATAATAGGTTCCCTCTTTCCAACCCACTCTCGCTCTACCCTCCCAGTATCTCCACTCACACCA